AGAAACTCCAACGATATGAAAAAGATCGAACGTAATCACCTAATGTGTCAAAGAAAGTTTATTAACAGAACTAGACAATTGTACCAATCATAACGGTTAGCAAAAGTACATCCAAAAACATGTCTGCGACAACTTTTAATGATGGTGTTAAAACCGTCAACACGTAGCAAAAACATACAAAACTAACAAAGATTTGAGCTTTTGTTGTGTTTGACGAAATAAATAAACAATCAAAATCAAGAAAGTAACTCAATTGACAATTCTATAAGTATGCACATGCAGATGTTGCATTTAACTTGTATTTATGTTTAAAAGAATATTTTTTTGTTATCAAGGCTATCGAAATTTAGGCAAAGACAAAGTTTTTGTGTGGTTTAATTTGCTGGGTTGGTTGGGTCATTTTTATTCAATTTTGATACATTAAAGGAAAAGGATCTGACGATATTGGATTGTATTTCACATTCTAGACTTTCATGCAACAAATGTGAAAGGATCTTGGCTCTTTAACGTGCATCCAATAATAAGAGTTACGAAAACTGCAATAAAGTCCCTACATATTGTTCTTATAATCGATTTAGTCTCATCATCTTTTTTTATTCAATTAAGTCTCAAATACTAGTAATCGTATTCAATTTAACCTTTTGACCCGGTCAACAGGTCATCCAACTTTCAAAAATTACATTTTTGGCCCAGATTTCAAAATTTATTAAATATTTGGTCCAGATTTTACACTTTTGACCCAGATTTTAAATTTTGTTACAAATTTGGTCCAAACTTTACCCTTTTTGCCCAAATTTTAGAATTTTGTTATGAATTCATCCTAACTTTAGTTTTTTTAGAACTTTTTTTCTCAAAAAATTGTTTCTAATATGTTTTTTCTTTATAAAATCATATTTATACAAAAAAAAACGTATTTTCATATAAAAATCTTATATTTTCTATATAAAAACTTATTTTAAAAAGTTTTTATATATGAAATATCTAGTTATAAAAATATATATGTATTAAGTATATAAATATATACAAATCCATTTTTATAAAAAAATGTATACAAAAACGTATTTTACAAAAAAAAAATGTATACAAACACCTATCACATTTTTTTTATATAAAATCGTATTTGTTTATATTTTTTTTATAAAAACGTGTTTGAATAATTTTTTATATAATACGTGTTTGTATACATTTTATCAAATCGTGTTTGTATACATTTTATAAAAACGTATTTGAATAATTTTTATATAACATGTGTTTGTATATATTTTATAAAATCGTGTTTGTATATATTTTATAAAATATATACAAACACGTATTATATAAAAAAATTATTCAAATACGTTTTTATAAAAAAAATTTAAATAGACACGATTTTATAAAAAAAATATAGATAAAATAGGTGTTTATATACATTTTTTTTTGTAAAATAATTTTTTTTATACATTTTTTTTATAAAAACGGATTTGTATATATTTAAATACTTAATAAATACTTATTTTTATAACTAGATATTTCATATACAAAAAAGTTTTTAAAAAAAGTTTTTATATAGAAAATATAAGATTTTTAAGTGAAAATATGTTTTTTTTGTATAAATATGATTTTATAAAGAAAAAACATATTATAAACAATTCTTTGAGAAAAAAAGTTGTAAAAAAACTAAAGTTAGGATGAATTCATAATAAAGTTCTAAAATTTGGGCAAAAAGGGTAAATTTTGGACCAAATTTGTAACAAAATTTAAAATCTGGGCCAAAACTGTAAATTTTGGACCAAATTTGTAATAAATTTTAAAATCTGGGCCAAAAATATAATTTTTGAAAGTTGGATGACCTGTTGACTGGGTATTTAGGACTTAATGTAATTTTTGAAAGTTGGATGACCTGTTGAATACGATTACCGGTATTTAGGACTTAATTGAATAAAAAATATATATAATGACTAAATCGATTATGAGGCCAATATGTAGGGACTTTATTGCAGTTTTCCCATAGAGTTATAGGAACCATGTGACAAATTAACGAAATAAAAATAATTCTTCGATATTAAATATTTTAAATTAATAGTCATCAAACATTGACGTCTAAGATATAACGATATAACATTTAAATATATTTATGTTAGGAGGAAATGGAATGATAATGTTGAAGGAGTTTGTTCTTATGGAGAACATGACCTCAAATAGGGTAGTTTGGAAGCGAAATATTAGGGTTGATAGATAGTTTCGCCACCAAACATATCTTGGTTTCTTGATCTTTACTTTTGATAGCAATTTCATGTTCTTAGGTTAGTTTCTGATTGTTCATGTATCATTTCACTATTCTTTATCACTTTACTTCCCTTGAGTGTAGGTTCTCAGATCCGTATATTGTTTTGAGAAGTACTCATGTTTATGTCTTACTACATAATATATATTGTCACTTACTTTTCCTTTGTTTGCCCAACTTTAATTTACATACCGTTGTGTGCATGCCGGAGAAGTCATCTTAGTGACGCAATCGATCTTCAATCCATAGAGACATTGATTGTCGACTTCTACTTCCCCTACCCCATTTTAATGGGATTCTTGGTGCTTGTTGTTGTTGTTGCTGCTTTTGTATGATACTTCAAAATAAAATTATACTTTTGACGGTGTTGAGAATTATATAGAGAAAATAAGAATTTTACTCTACTTAGATAAAATATAGGCTATGTTGCATTGTATATTTGAATTATAAAAGTCATTACTTTGCCTCTTGATCTAATAAGATAATCATAAGTACGTACGGGGTAGGTTACCCAACATCAAAACCGATTAATTACCTCCAATCTATTTCATATTACTTTAAGAACCCCAGTTACCTAATTCATAACTTAATGGTATACTATATTCTTAACAAGATTCTTGATTGTTTACCACTGAAAATATGAAAAGTTCTATATCGCAAAGTTATAGATGGCCTGGTGTCTCTAAAATTCTCCATCTGAATTATCCCACTAACGAACTCTGATATCTTATAAGCGACATGTGTGCAATGCATCGACTGATCGACATGTGTGCAATGCATTATTGTTCGTCTTTTAAACCCACTTATTCCGGTGTAAGCATTAGTAATCGCATGCCTTTGTAATTGTAGTTGATACTTGGTCGAGTTGACTCAAACAAAGCCAACCCAGTTCTTATAATATTAATTAGTTCCTCTAATCTAACCCTATTTTTGCTTTAAAAGACCCGACTCATATTCGTTCAATCGACTCAACTCGGTCTTGTGCTAGAATAAATGGTCTACGTACTCTATCTAGAAGATGCAACTCTTTCTCCACACTTCCAGTCTGCCACGACTGGATCATTGATGTATACCTATGAATTATGATGAGGGCTTGGGGCCAAATAGTATCAGCTCATCCCACGTTTCACGCCTGACAATAATTTGTGGAGATACTTTATATTTGAGTGTAAAAACAAAATATAATCATTATATCTTGTATGTTTTCTATAAAGCATTGTAATTATAGATATTAAACGAATAGCTTTATAAAACTTGCAAATATCTGGTTGTTCCGTTGATATTTTTGAAAACCTCTTGTAAAATTAATTCGAATATTAAAGTTTCACACACACCCAAGTCGATATAGTTGAGATTTTTTTTTTTTTTTACATCAACACGAATACAATTTGTTTGATCAACCCATCAAAAATCATTGATATTTAGTTAATATATTGAAAAAAAACTATGATATCTCATGTATAGGGGCCAAGTAGAAAAAGAAATAAAAATTGAGTCAAAACAAAATCATCAGAGACGACTAAGCGACATGTGATTTTTCTGGAATAATCATCGCATTGGGCCTCTTACTACCATAGATTGAAGACCTCTATGAATCAGAATTTTCAACAGTAATAAAAAAAATGATTCATTATAAATCGATTCTGATTTTTTCACGCAGCATTCTGAAATAATCATCCGCTCGTATAGTTTCGGTGGGGGCTTTTCTGTAGGAGCAAAATATGAGTTATAGATTGAGGAGTTGGATCATGAAACTTTCGAGGCGATGTAAACTTTGGAGATATCTATAACTGTTGTGATTGTGTAAAATTTTATGGTGCTTGGAAGTGTTGGGATTGGTATTCATACTTGAAACATGGATTTGGCCTTCGAGTGAACTTTTTTACTTATTAAGGCCATCATCTGCTAATACTTGGCTTCACTATCATCTTCGGAAATTGTGGACCTAGTAGTTATAAAGCTATGTGTGGAATGGCTTTCGACGGTATTATCAAGAGTGTAGCTTTGCATATGTGGGTTGGAAGTTGTCGATATAAGAGTAAAAGATCCACCAAACTTGTGTAGATTTTGTAGTATGTTGGATTCATGAGTCTATATCTCTATTTAGATATAAAAAATAGGGTAACTTTTTTAATTCTTGGCTTGTTTGATTCTAGGCTTGTTTGATTTTTCTGAAATGGTTCTCGACATATCTTTAGCTGGCAAAAAAAAAAGATTGAAATCATATGTATTATAGTGTGCTTGTCGTGATCTCAGGTTTCCGGTTAGCTGAATTCCCTCTAAGATCTGGAAGAACCAGTTAACATTAGTAAGGTAAGAAGTTCAAAGCTTACTAATTGAATCGGAGGATCATAACGAGTATTATCATGCCTATTCAGAAAATTGAAATACATGCTCAGGAGTACATCGAAGTGTTTTGTAAAGCTTTTTGTGGTCGACATAATGTTATTCCATTATGTGATAAGAATAATGTATAATTGTTTTGTTGCATAAATCAACAGCGACGTGTTTCAATGTATTATTAAATTGTTCTCGTTATCAATTGCCAAAGTTAGCTAGCTATTGTATTTAACTTGTGTGTTAACCCATTGGCTATATAAATTTTTTTTTAAAAAATGTTTATAGTTTTGCTATTGTCAATAACAAGAACGCGATAACATATAGTAATAATTTTCATAAGTATGATTTTAAAAATGATTTATTTATTTTTTCACCTTCATTTTGGTTTGTATTGAATACCAAGTTTGTATTCTATTATTTACATTTTGAAAACATAAATAGAGTTTGTTTATTACAAATTTAAATAGGTGTAAAGAGAGTGGCTAAACCTTGGTCCACAACAACTTGTATCTTATCATACGCCATCAATGATTTTAAGTTACATTTATAAGTTCCTTTCCCTCTCGCCAACACTTCCCCATCCGAATCTATAATCCCTTCTTTCATCGAGTCATCCGTTCTCGGCCCAGGCTCCAATATCACCGCTTTCACCTGAAACATATCAAGGACAAAACATGACATGACAGCCTTATACTGTGTTTGACATGTGCTGACAACAAAAAATGCAATCGTGTAGATTCCTTTTTTTATCTCTATATGCAAAAGACGTAAATGCCCTCCTTGTCCTTGTCATTTAAAATAGCCCTAGAAAGTTTGTCCTGTCCTCTCTAGATATGTGTAACAAACATAGATGAAAGATGCATTGCACTCGCCTTGATGTACACAACATAGGGTGATTCCACGTGGCCCCCGTTGTTCAATTCGGACATTAAGGACAACAAGGCCAACTTTGGGCATTGCCTCACTATAATCAAGTCCAAATAGCCATCTTCAAACTGAAAAGACCAAAATAACCTCCATTATAATAAGTATTGAAACAAAGAATATGCTAATACATAAAATAGATAGAGGGAAATCAACCTTGGCATCAGGGGCAGCCATAGTGTTTTCAGCACCCCAAGGAACATTATGAAGCCAAACAGAAACAAACGGGCCTTCAATCTTTCTCCAATTTAAATTCTTTAAATCAATATTAGGACCTTGGTAACCATGCTGACGTGGCACAATAAGAGGTTCCATAGAATCAACACACGAATCATTCGACTCTCCCACATCTTCAAACCCGGGTCCAGGTACAAAACATATACTCCCATTATATTTTCGCAGCCTTAGAATTCGTTTAAGAGCCTGAATTTTATTTTAAAATAATAATAACCCAATTAACATACAAATTGATGGTATTTCATAATAATTTTAGAGAGAAAAGGTTTGGAATTACATAGAAATCTATCCGAGCACTTCCCATCCACCGATATTTCTCGGACTCGATGTCGATATCTGATACAAGTCCTTGAAGAAAACAAACCCAAACCCAAACCCAATTCCATAAGTCAAAAGAATCACAATCTGAATATTTATTTATTAAAATTTAGTTTTGAGTTCAGTGTATTTATTGTATACCCCATGCAAGCATTAAGACGCTAAAAAAGGCAGTCTCTCCTTGCCAGATTGTAGCTACATCTAAAGACCGTTTATGCCCTGACAAAAAAAAATATATATATATATGATGCTGTTTCTTTTTCACTTAATGTGGAGAAATCTTAATATGAGTAATTATTTTTTGACTGAAAATGCAGAAAGAATGACTTAATAGAAAAACTTAGCGAAGTAAAAGTAAAGTAAGTATATACCTCTAACTACAGCAAGAGTAGCATGAGCTGGAGTACATGGCTGATTGACTGAATCTAAAAGGGATTTTATCATGCCATTCCCAGTACCTTTTTCATAAACATTTGTTTGTGTAAGTTTTTAAAAAAATAAAATAAAATAAAAATATTGTATTTGTAAATTGTAATGAAGAAAGGTACCTGCAGGTATGACTCCAAGAGGCATCTTGAGTGCAACTGCCCAGTCTTTTCTTTCAAGCAATCCATTCACAACCTACTACAATTTACAATTTCCAGCCCATATGCCATCAGAAACCGTGGGACTTATTTGCTTTAAAAAAGTTGTAGGGACTGATTTGCCAAAAAGTAGAAAGTACATGGGTTTTATTGCAATTTCCCCAATAGTAGATACTAGATAATTAGATATACATCTACAAGTCTTCTATCCCAAACTAGATGGGGTACAGCAAGCCAAACATTATAACTTTTTCAAGTGACATTAATAAATTGCTTCAAAAGATTTGCATGATGTTTTCTGGCCTACATTTCATATAGCAAAAAGGTGAAATTCATATATCAAAAAGAGGTAACAAACCAACCTCAACCAATATGCCATCCCCGCTAACACATATTATACCATCATACTTTGTAAGATCCAACGAACAAGAAACTTCCTTCGCGTGAAGTTGATATCTTGTTTCTGAAATTAAGATTAAAGGCAATAAGCAACATTATGATACAGAAACGAAATTGGCAGAAGTTGAAACAACCTTGCAATGTGTATTCGATGTTAGCATCTTCAAGTATTGGTTTTATATCATTAGTAAACATCTTGGAAGCAGATTTCCTCCCACCAAACGGATTAACGAATATGAAGAGCTTTTTTGGTCGACCTGTTACAACAGCCTCTAAGTTATGCAGAATAGAAATATTTTGCTTACATGGGACAAAGTACAAGTCAATTCGTAGTGAATCAACGCCATGTTGAAGCTTTTATGTGTAATTTAGCTACATGTTCATATTGATGACATTGGAGAATAGCCTAATGAGTTGAACAGAAAATCACATGTATTACCTAACGAATCGATGTACCCTTGAATCTTCTCGCATAAATTCCGTAACGAATCCTCCGTCACCGCCTCAAATACGAAGCTCTTCCTCGTCAAACATCCTTCGGCACTACTTCCGAAGCAAAATCGATCAGCGCCAGTTTGAACAAGTGCCCTAATTGTGATCAGGCGTCCGACTTTTGAGAATCCAAGAACTTCCTTCTCTACAGACAAGCACCGGCGAATTAAACCTCCATCCAACCACTGGAGTATCCCGTCGACAGAAAGCGTGAGTGATGATTTGCCGCCGTTGACGAATACTTCATCGGAAACGGAGAGTAAATGTTGTTGTTCCATCGTCGATCAGAGTTTGGTGGCGGCGAAGGGAATGAGGGTAGCGTGCGGGAGTTGGCAACGAAGGCTTGGGACGCATATGATTTATCGGAGGAGGATCGGGAGTCAACATCTTTAGAAAACTTCTAGACTACTATTGTGTTGGTTCTTTATTCAAAACCTTCTAAAATTAGCCAATCACTTTTTCCAAAAGACACAGGATTACCCCTCAGAGTTCTAAATTCTGTAGCTACAAGTCCTCATACGATTTGGTCATCAAATTGCGAACTTAATTTCATATAAGTCGTCTCTTCACCTAGTTACCGCGTATAGTATTCACCTTTTACCATTTATTTTTTCAATTGTCACCTTAGTTTTCACTCACATTTTGGCTCACCAAAATACATCAAATCGTCATCTTTCATTATTTTTTCTTAAAAAAAAAAAATTTATGTTTATTTAATTCAGAATATTTCTTTTATCGCAGAATTTGTTCCCAAAACATTATTTTGAATATGAGATATTATCAATGTCAAAGCATTTCGAAGAAATAGTTTTCATTAATATATAAAAAACTTGGGATGTTGTAACTGATACAAACATGAGCATAAACTTGTCTTAACAGACCTTACAACATCTTTTTATACTAATGGCCTACATCTCCTCGAATCTCTCATCATATCCAAACATCACTATATATGTACTTTCGTACCGCTACCTGTGATACAAAGAAACTGAGTGAGTTGAGTTTGAGAGCCTGGTGAGCACATAGGGTTTTCAAACCACAATATTATAATTAATTGTCTTAATTGTATAATTCACATCAAACAAATAACCTGATTATTCATTCTTATTATTCTCACTCCCTGATCCTAAGATGATGATCTTGTGGGACCTATCTTAAAAGATCACTGAGTAGACAATACCGCTTTGGGGATTCCTTAGCAATATAAGTCAATAAAGCAACCGAGGGGTAAATAGATTACCCTGCATGAATATATAGTTCATCAACACCTACATGTCATAGACCTGCCCGTGTGTGGTTCATTTATCACATACATGTCGAAGACCTGCCCGTGTGTGGTTCATTTATCACCTACAGGTCGAAGACCTGTCCGTGTATGGTCCATTTAACATCCACCGGTCGAAGACCTGTCCATGTAGGATTGATTGACACCTACAGGTTCTGCTCGTGTATGACTTATAAACACCTACAGGTTGCAAGCATGTCCATGTTTCACCAAACTTGTCTAGAATAGTATGTGGTCGTCCTATATATTCTACTAGATGACTACATTGCAACATCACCAGTAAAGTCATAGCCTCTCCTCATTATTTTTCATCACTCATCACCCATCACTACCCAATATATTACTAATGGTGTACTCGGACCGGTCAATCAATTAAGCCCATTACCGACCTACATCCACTAGGTCGGCCTGGAAAGCTTACCAATCACGAGCATAATCCATCATAAGTCGATCTAAACCCGACCAACCACATCCCAACTCATACGGTGGCAAAAGACAGCCGATCAAAATTAGACTCATAGGATAATACCAAAGCACAACAAATAAAAGCAACATATCCCTGGATTAACGCAAAGGCAATATCATAAGCAATAAAATAAGAAACCGGTACACATAAGGCAACTTCCTTTTGTCCATGTAATAAAGAAAGACCGGGTAAAACCTTATACCTTAAGATATAAGGAAGCCTATAATTACCTTTAGAAACATGGCACTGAGGTAAGAAAAAAAGAGAACGAGAACAATCAGCAATTCCTAGCAATTTACTTATCCGGCATCTAACTTAGGCATCGAAGAGCAATATCGGGGTCCATCCCTCAGTGTTGCTTCCTAGCCTAGTGTTTTCTATTCCTTGTAGCGTGATATCTCGAGTGCTCTCTGGACAAATCCTTACGGAGGCCGCTAACAACGCACCCAGATGTCTACGTAGCAACATTGGTGCCATCAGTGGGTAAGAACTATCAGATTATTGACATTGAGACAAGCGATACCATCGCCCAATATAAAAGAAACTACATAGGCAACATAACCTCAAATAGACTAACGAAAAAGCTAGCCTTACCGTGTAACGACCCAATTTTCAAGTCCAAAAATTTCTTTTTAATTAACTGACTCATAAAAACATTCATAAGAAAATACTGTGAAAACACATCATCTCATAAAACAATGCATTATGTCTGAAAACCCAAGTCATAAAATAATAACATATCAGAGTACAATCCCAGAAAACTCCATGCGGAAATCATGTGTGTGTGATGCGCTGCTACACTGTCGGCTCCTTCCCCTTAGACGAAGAGGTACCTGAAACCAAAACTAAAACTGTAAGCACAAAGCTTAGTGAGTTCCCCCATCATATCACATACCATACAATCACATAGCATACATACTGCCAGGCAATTCTGGGGTGCCCGACCTACCCGTGTCAAGCCATTCTGGGGTGCTGACTTACCCGTGTCAAGCCATTCTAGGGTGTTGACCTACCCGTGTCAAGCCATTCCGGGGTGCTGACCTACCCTTCGGTCCTAACAACCGAACTCTGGGGACTATCTCACCCCATACTACTACTATCACACATATCATAACATAATCATACTGTCAGGCATATCTGGGGTGCCCGACCTACCCTTCGGTCCCTACGACCGAGATGCGAGGACTATTTCACCTCCTACTACTACCACATAATATCATAGCATAAACATACCGTCAGGCATATCTGGGGTGCCCGACCTACCCTTCGGTCCCTACGACCGAGATGCGAGGACTATTTCACCTCCTACTACTACTATCACATATAACATATCATGCCAGCATATAAACATATCATAACATACTGTCGGACATATATGGGGTGTCCGACCTACCCATCGGTCCTAACAACCGAACTTGGGGACTATTTCCCCCTACTACCACTATCACATATAACATATCATGCCAACATATAACATATCATGTAGTAGCGAACCTAGATGAATATCACAAAGACAATCATCTAACATACAACTCCTACTGGTGGGCCGGCATTGTGGCCGTAGACCCACCGTTACTGGAAGGTAACTCACCTCGAACGAGTAGCTGCTGATAATCTGTGCGGGAAATCTCTGTCTGTTGCTGCTCCGGAAATCCTCCGGCTATAATCCCCACAAAACACTTAATCAGAGTCTGAAATCTATTCTTAGGGTAAAATGACCATTTTAACCCTGACCAAGTCCAAGTCAAAGTCAAAGTCAACTTCCAGTTGACCCGACTCGCCGAGTTGGGCCGCCAACTCGTCGAGTCCTTATCTCTTCAACTGTCCTCATCCACGACTCTACTCGTCGAGTTTAGCAACGACTCGACGAGTTCCTCTTCGATATGAACATCGAATGAACCTTCATCCGACTCGCCGAGTTGTATGAACAACTCGTCGAGTTCACCTTCATCTGATGAACAAGTTCTGACCTTGACTCGCCGAGTTGTATGAACAACTCGTCGAGTTCATCTTCAACCATAAGGAGATTGCCTTGGACTCGCCGAGTCTGTTCTAGCACTCGTCGAGTCCCATGAACTCCAGGTCTAAGGCTAAGTCCAATACATTGGGTCACTCCTTCGGACCTTCTACAACCTTTCTAACACCCAACTGAGTTCTTTTGACCCTCAACAGACATGGGACTTTATGTCTTGGACTCGTCGAGTCCCAAGAACGGACTTGCCGAGTCGATAACGTCCACACCCTAAATCCTCGATTTCTGATGTATAACCTTTGACCAAAAGATAGATCCAAGCCCCTAAGCTCGATCTAGCACGTAAAGTTTCGAACTTTACGTGCATGCATGGGACTTTTGAGCCTAAAAGGCTCTAAAATGGCTCTTATGTTGCATGGGGTCTTCCTTGAGTTCAAAAGCAACCCAAATCTGCCTTGTGACCCCTCCCAAGACTTAGATCCGAAGTCTTGACCCCCAACCATGTTTGCAATCATGGTTGGCTACCTCATATGGCTTAAAAAGCCCTAAATCTTCCCCAAAAAGGGATCTAACAAACAAGCAAGCAAGGTACAGACTTTATACCTTTCAAAGACTGCAAATGATGAACCAAACTCGAATCCTTCAGTCTCCTCTTGATCCTTCTATGCTCTTCCTCCTTCCTTGAGGTCAAAACCCACAAAAATCACTCAAAAGCCTTAGATCTTGCACCAAAACACTTAGGGTTTGATATGGAGGGTTTCTGGGAGCATAAAGGGGCGATGGGAGGCTGTATAAGGTTGTTTAAATAGGGTGCAAACCCTCAGATTAGGGTTTTGTCCAGTCAGAGCCTACTCGTCGAGTCCGGGACCCAACTCGACGAGTCCATCACTTAAATCACGCGTCTCATCCCGCTTCTACTCGGCGAGTTGGGCCTTCAACTCGCCGAGTCCCAGGCTAAAAATGCAAAATTACTTAATTGAAATACATACCAGGAACCAGGTGCTACATACTGTGTCCTAAAGATGGTCGAACAATGTGCTTACACAACATGTTTGACATACAATAAAAAAATCCATTCATCCCCGAAGATATGAACCAATACTAATACATGTCTACATCTACGACATAGGTATTCATCGAATATACTACGATAGTTGAATCTCAACCGAGATAATGTATGATGATTTCTTCTCAAGGTTACCAGAAACAATGAGGAAGAAACTCAAACAACCAGAGGGGCATTTAACCAGTTTTGCATGACATTCAGTATGGGCCCTAGGGATATTATCGGTATCGCTAAATCTACGGGATCAACTCACACAAGCTAAGCATACATAAATGTTATATGTCACAATCACCCAGTCAGAATCACCTTATAATATAATATTTGGGAGGAGTGCCATGAAAAAGTTTAAAGTTATCGCATCAACGATCCATGGTCTTCTTTTGTTTTGACTTCTTTGACAGATCCTAGAGGCCCATTTGCAACATCAAGTAATCCAAAACAATTCCATCTTCTTCTTATCATCATCAAAACCCAAATTAAACAACCATAACTAATAATCCATAATCCAAAAATCTTCATCTTCCAATCATCCAAGGCCCAAGTTTCTTGCATATAATCTTCA